TCCCCTCCGGGCGACCGTGGGCACCTGCCGGCCCGCTCGCGCCCCGCTGCCTCCGCCGTCGGACGCGCGCCCCCTCCCGGTTCCGAGCGACCCCCCGGCCTCCGCGCGGTAGGGAAGGGGAGCTGGCCTGCTCGCGGGGATCTCGCTGGGGCACTAGCGCTATCGGTGCTGGAGGGGTCTGGAGCTGACCTCTCCGAGCCCGGCCCGCGGGAGGCTCACCCGCGCGGGGTCCGCACCTCGGCAGCGTGCCTCTCTCGCACCCCGAGCCCGGGAGACTGGGTCTGGGCGTGCGCTCCCCGCCGATGCCTCGGACGCCTCCCTGCTTCCAGGCAGGCGAGGACTCGCGCAGGATCATGCATATTCTATCAGGGAGGAGGATCTGTAAGAGGCTCACCAGTCACACCGCCTTTGTTCCGTTCATTTTCTAGACTATTCCAGCGCACCCACGCCGCCGCCTCCCTTAGCCTCTTGTCTTTATCTCCAGCCCCCGTTTCTCCTTCGCAGTTCTCTGAACAGCTCTACTACTTTCCTAGGAGACACTATGGCTTCGAACTTTGGCTTGGAGCCGTGGAACCGAAGAGGGTCGAGACCGGTCTGCGTTCTCACTCACGGGGCTGAGTGCGAGTTTCCCCGGTTACTGCTACCACCCGCCCGCAGAGACGGTCCGTCCGCGGCTGCTTTGCACTCGCATTCCTGGACTTGCGGGAAGGTCGGCAAAAGAGGCGACCCGGCCTAGAAGTCCGGGACGGAGATCACTTTGTCGTGCGGCGCTGTTGTGGCACGGTCATGGTCTCAGGCTCTGGGGGCCCGAGGCCCTGCACACCGATTCTTCTACGTGGCCTTGTTCATCTGTCTTCAAGTGCCTCAGTTTCCTCCCAACCCACGTTTCTCTCACATTCAGCCAGGCCTGATCTTCTTTACAGAGAGCAAACAGCACCTGGCGGGGCTCCCCGCACTCTGCTGCCTCATTCCCTCTGTAGGCCGCACCCTGGGCACAGCGGGCCTCACTTGTCAATGTGTCTCACTCAAATCCACCAGCACCTCCTTACATCGCAGGTTCCTTGCTGGTGCCACCATCTCCTCCTCTTGCGCAGGGCTCCAAGAGTGAAAACGGGAATCTGACGCTGGCCTATCCTTCCTTACCTCTTGTTCACACCTCAGCTCCTGGGAGCCTGGCTTTGGCCCACCTCCCTGCACTGAGAATGTTCTCATTAGGGTCATCAGTGGCCTCCCAGGCACGAAACTTCATCCGTGAACTTTGGTCTTTACTTTCTTTGACCTCTCCATGGAGCTGGCACTGACCCTCCCTTGGGACTGTCTTGTTCTTTGGCTTGCATCGCATGGTGGTTTTGATGGCCTGCTCAGCCTCCGGCTGGTGGAGGTACCTGGGACCCCACCCACCCTTTCGCTCCTGTGCACACACTCCTGGTGGGGCTGACTGCATCCCCCATCCTCTATGCGTGCAGCTCTAACTGTGGCCACATCACATCTCCAGCCTAGCTCACCCTCTTGTCCCCTGCCATCCCCAAGCATACCTCCACTTTCATCTCCCTGAGGTACATCCTCAGCTCTACCTGCCAAGGGCTGAGCTCATCCCCTACACCTGCCCCCACACCTCCAGCCTTTTCCTTTCTGTTCTCTCTCTGTGATAAGGGTCCCTGATTTTCCAAACCAGAACACGGGACTCATTCCTGACTCATTTTCCTTCCTGAAAACCCAAATAGTTACTGTGTCCCATGGAGTCAGTTTTCTAAATACCAAATATCTCTTCCACCCTGTCTTCCATTACCATGGTCTTAGATCACTAATCTAACGTGGATTTTGGCAATGGCCTCCTGCTTACTTACTCTAGTGGCCCATGTTGCCACAGTGACAGTACAGATCTGCCATGTCTATCCCCACCACTAACAAGGCCTCGACCATGATCCTTCAAGACTGGGTTGGTGTAATCTCTGTGGCCCCAGCTCTCAAGCATCTCCCCTTCCCAGCACTGCCCTGCCTCCCCTTCCACCCGCATGGACTTCCTGAACACCCTGGCTTATCCCATTGGGTTCGCATGCTGCTCCTGCCTGGAATACCTGGAATATCTTCTTCACTTGGCCACCTCCTAATTATCCTTCTAGCCTCACTACTCCCTCCACATTCAGTGTTAGACCCCTTCCCCGTGTTTCTTTTTTTTTTTTTTTAAAGATTTTATTTATTTATTTGACAGAGAGAGACACAGTGAGAGAGGGGACACAAGCAGGAGGAGTGGGAGAGGCAGAAGCAGGCTTCCCGCGGAGCAGGGAGCCCGATGTGGGGCTCAATCCCAGGACCCTGAGATCATGACCTGAGCCAAAGGCAGACGCTTAACGACTGAGCCACCCAGGCGCCCTTCCCCGTGTTTCATAGTCTCACCAGCTCCTTGCATTGTAATGGTTTATTTACAGCTTTTTCCAAAGTCGGCTAGAACACGGCCTCCATGAGGGCCGGGCCTGAGTCTGTCCTTTACACCTGCTGCACCTGTGTCTAGTCCAGTGCCTGGCCTGGAGGAGGTGCCCCATGGATCTTCGTTGAATGGATGAATGAATTCCTGAAAGCCAAAGATAACTCCTGCTCAAAGGGTGGGGTCTCATGAAAGGAATTTTGTCATCAGATTTTAAGTTCAGGAAGCACTTGTCCAGTTTGGTACTATACTGAAAATATGAATACTTTCTAAAAAACAAGAGCAATAAATTATTCTTCTTGACAGAGGCAGAAGCGAACATACAGTGCCATACTATAGGCTGAGCTAGGTTAAAGGTTCTAGTTTTGTGGAAGGGGACTGTTTATCACCACTGCCAGGCCTCACACTTGGAGTTAACACACATGTACACACATGGTAATATCAACCTGGCATGTCCTGTGGGTAATGGGGGCAGTCAGGAGGCAAGAAAAGGTATGTAAAAATTGCATAGTACAGTGGGATGTTCATAAGGGTTAGTCAGTTTTCTTAATGCCAAGATTTTTTTTAAAAGATTTTATTTACTAATTTGAGAGAGAGAGAGAGAGAGATTGACAGAGATAGTGAGAGAGAGCACCAGCAGGGAGGAGAGGGAGAAGCAGGCTCCCCACCGAGCAGGGAGTCGGATGCGGGACTTGATCCCAGAATCCTGGCATCATGACCTGAGCCGAAGGCAGATGCTTAACCAACTGAGCCAGCCACCCAGGCACTTCTAATGCCAAGATTTTTATAAACAGTTGGAAGAAAAAGTTTCAAAACAAATCCCATGAAAACTTATAAAGGGAGAATTAAGCCAGACCCCAAAGCTACACTTTTAAGACAGCCTGATAATTCAGTTACCCTAAAAATACAGCAAAAAGTTTCCACTTGTTCAGATCTAGGATTTAAGGGTGTCAAAAAAAAAAAAAAAGAAAAAAGAAAATGGGCCCCAAATCGAGTTGCTTATGCTAACTAATCCCACATCACAAAACCGATAATCACAGTTTTGAGTTTCCTAGAAATGAAATATATTTTTTAAAGATTTTATTTATTTGACAGAGATAAAGACATAGCGAGAGAGGGAACACAAGCAGGGGGAGTGGGAGAGGGAGAAGCAGGCTTCCCGTGGAGCAGGGAGACCGATGTGGGGCTCGACCCCAGGACCCTGGGATCATGACCTGTGCCGAAGGCAGACGCTTAACGGCTGAGCCACCCAGGCGCCCCTAGAAATGAAATCTTAAACCTGTCAATCTGGAATCGCCTGATGAGCACAAGTTAGGTAATCTGCTTCATACACCCCTGTTATCCCCTAAGGAAAAGTAACCTTGCAATAATCAACCCGATTTTTAACCTAGTATAATTTCCTTGTTTCTGCTCCCTGCTGGTTATGAAAGCCTTTCATTTTGTGCAGCAACTTGGAGCTCCTTTCTTTCAGTTAGATGGGATGCTGCCTGATTCGAATCAAGTTTTGCTCAAATAAACTCTTAAAAATTTTAATATGCCCGAGTTTATCATTAAACGAGGTTAAAGATAAATTTTTATATTTGAATTCTAGTAAGATTTAGATGATCATATATGATGAATAATACACCCAAGAAGTTAGTATGTCAATACAATAATAATAATATGTTCAGTGTAAAACAGCCTCT